CTGCGAGAGGGGGACGGAGCGGCCAGGTCGGGACCCGCCGGGACTCGGGGCAGCTCATCAGCAAGTCCCCTGGGCAAGGGGTTGCTTGGGCTGGGCCCCGCCCCTCCGTCTGGGTCGCTTTCTGACGCGCAATGAACCAAGATGCTCCGCAGAATTGGAAAAGGTGGACGGGAATCCCGCGCCCTAACTTCCTCCTGTTAAAACATTACTAAGGGCACGCAGCTCTTCAACAGGAATTGCCAAATGAGAATGAAATAAACAATACGTCGGCTTTCATTTGTCCAACATTTACCGCTTCTCAGCCTTTTGGCTAAGATCAGGCGCACTTGCCCAACACTTCACAGTTTGCAGGACACATTCGCAGGCCTATTTCCATGTTGTAAACAGATCTGTGTCGTGTGTGTGTGTGTGTGTGTGTGTGTGTGTGTGTGTGTGTAAGGAGCCTGTGTGTCGAGAGACAAGGCAGAAAGGTATGTTCCCAAAGATAATTAAGCACCTACTAGGTGCTAAGAACCTGGGCTACGAGGATGTGAGACAGACTTCCTGCGGTCAAGGGCCCACCTTGGTCCTTTAAACACATCACTCATTGGTAGGAAAACAGGGCAGATGCGACCCTGGAGATATGGAGAAAATGCCCTGGGAACTTAAGAAGGGCTGTGTGCGAATGGGGATGAGACCTGAGCATCAGAAGAGGTGAGAATCCGCTCTGCACAGTGGTCTTGTTCGGCTGCCTGACCTCTGAATGCCCTGAGTTTTGAGGAATGCCAACTATGGAAGCCAAAACAGCTAGAGCCACCCCGACCCCTGCAGCCGGAGGACAGCCCGGCCCCTGAGGGCCTGGGTCCCTCTCTCTGAGCTGTTTGAGTTCCAGAGCAAGTGATGCAAGAAGCAGAGCCAACAGAGAATTGGTTTTGCCTCGACGGGCAGTGCATCCAGGGCTCAGGCAGCGGTGGGAGGTCAGGCACCAGGCTGCCCGGAGGTGGGAGGTGCAGACTGCCATGGTCTTGGGCAGCGGTGGGAGGTCAGGCACCAGGCTGCCCGGAGGTGGGAGGTGCAGACTGCCATGGTCTTGGGCAGCGGTGGGAGGTCAGGCACCAGGCTGCCCGGAGGTGGGAGGTGCAGACTGCCATGGTCTTGGGCAGCGGTGGGAGGTCAGGCACCAGGCTGCCCGGAGGTGGGAGGTGCAGACTGCCATGGTCTTGGGCAGCGGTGGGAGGTCAGGCACCAGGCTGCCCGGAGGTGGGAGGTGCAGACTGCCATGGTCTTGGGCAGCGGTGGGAGGTCAGGCACCAGGCTGCCCGGAGGTGGGAGGTGCAGACTGCCATGGTCTTGGGCAGCGGTGGGAGGTCAGGCACCAGGCTGCCCGGAGGTGGGAGGTGCAGACTGCCATGGTCTTGGGCAGCGGTGGGAGGTCAGGCACCAGGCTGCCCGGAGGTGGGAGGTGCAGACTGCCATGGTCTTGGGTGAGCTTGTCGGTTCCAGCCCACTCTCTGCAACTGGCTCCTCAGCCTCCTGGCAACTCTGCGAGCTCCCCCCCCCCCTCACATCAATCCCCTCTCCGCTGCTTTTGGCAATTGGGAGCCTGACTAATATGCCCTGTGAGAGACATTTGGAGACCCATTTCCTTTCAGATACGAAAAGATAAAATAAAATAGAACATAGAACTAAAAGAGTTACCTAACACTCGTGGGTTTCCTGTCGGGTTCTCAGCACAGCCCTAGATGCTTCACCAGCGTTCACTTTTCATCCCAATGAGGAAACTCAGGCCCAGGGACCGGAAATAACCGTCCTGAGGTCAGGTAACTAGGAAGGCGCAGGGGTAGGATTTGAACTGAGGTCTCTAAGCTCTGAACCATATGCCCTTTGCATCATAAAATCATAAAAGAGACCAGAGGTTGATATGGTGATGTATTGGTATTGTGCCCTGCCATTTCCTCTGTGTGTGTGTGTGTGTGTGTGTGTGCGCGCACACGCGCGCCTGCATACATGCATGGGCACGTGTACACGGTGCACAAAAGTCTTTAGTATCTAAGCATGCATAACAGTGATACTTTATGCAAAACTTGGGCATAAGAGCCGAGAAATGGCAGACTGGCTGTGCAGGGAAGTGGGTGGTGATGCCCACAGGAGAAGCGAGCTTGATATTGTGCTGAGGGTGTGCCTGTGTGTAGGTCAACGAGGACTCGGAGCTGGGGAAGAGCTGTGCGAGAGGGAGTCACGAACCGGGCCTGCCCACCATCAGCTTTGTTTCCTGCAGCGCACCCTGTGTCTTCTAGCGAGGAGGTGCAGTGGGTCTGCCTGCCCCTCCTGAGTGGGCGGTCCCCAAGGAGCGGCTGCACGGACTGAGTCTATGTGCGAGCCCCTCTCAACGCACATGCTGTCGCCAAGGCGGGGAGGGCTAAGGGCAGCGTGCAGAGTCCATCTAATGATCCGGGACGTGGAGCCTAAGCGATGGAGACCCGAGGGGAGACGGCATTCTTTTGCTGCATTGGTGGTGATGGCTGGGTGACACCAGAATCGGGGTGCTCTTCCAAGTGTGGTTTCTGAACTTTTAGCATCAGCATCACACCAGTGGCTGCCCAAAAGGCAGATCCCCAGGCTCTGCTGGGAACGATGAGATCAGAAGCTCTGGGTGTGCCCTGGAGAGTGCATTTTAACTGCCTTCCTCAAGTGCTTCTGAAACACACGGGACATAGGGCCACCCCAAGCAGAGGTTCATCTTCATGGCCCCGGGAGGGTCTGGATCCCCAGTCCTTCAGACTTCGTGCTGCAACCAGAGACAGGTCAGGGCACAGGCCTGTGTGGGACCAGAGCAGACCCAGGAAGCCCCTGTGTGACGCGTAGGTGCGCGGACTCACAGGCCTTGCCATCAGAGCAGCATTTTAGAACAGAATTAGGACGTGGGGAAAAGAGAAGTGAGACCTGCTGGCTGCCGGTAGCAACCACATGGCTATAAATATAACCAGCTGAGCCCTCCCAAACATGGCTTCATTGCAGGCCCAGGCTTGCAGGCACACGAATCGCTTACATGGGTGTTCTTAAAGCACACAGGTAACATCGCCTTTCCTCTTCTCTTCTCTGACCTGGACTCCAACACAGATACCATGTTTCTCCCCTCTTCTTTCTGTACCATTGAAAAAGGTTTATTGAGGCGCTGGCCGGGTAGCTCAGTTGGTTAGAGGGTTCTCCCAATACACCAAGATTATGGGTTTGATCCTGGTCAGGGCACATACAAGAATCAGCCAATTAATGCATGAATAAGTGGGATAAAAAATCGATGTCCCTCTCTTTCTCTCTCCTCTCTCTCTCTCAATTTTAAAGAGGTTAATTCACATATCATGCAATTCACCCATTAAAAGTGTACAATTCAATGGTTTTACATATGTTCAGAATTTCTGTACCATGTTATTTTTTTAATTTTCTTATCTAAGTTTTGTTCATCTTTCTTTCCCTGGTGCTACCTGTTAGGTTTGTTATCTTCCCCATTCCCTGTATCTTCAAAACCAACTTCAATGAAGTATAAGTTTTAAAACATTTAAATTAAAGCAAGAAACTAAACAACAACAACAAAATACCGAGACTCTGGGCACCCTATACTGAGAACTGGAGCCATTTCAACCTGGACGCCTTTTCCTATTGAGGAATAAGCAACTCCATTAAGGAACTGCCTTGCAGAAAGGAAATGCAAATGGAAGTATAGGATGCCAAACACTTTCAAAGCTGTCCTGCCAAGAGCAGTGGGAAGTGTATAAGTAAGAGATTGGGAGAATGTGCTGAAAACTCCACGTCTCGAAGCAGATTTGCAGTACCGGCTGCCTCAGGCTTCAGATCGGTGGCACTGAGAGCTGAATTAGGGGTGCCTGCTTGTCCGCCCTGAGGCCGCACCCCAACGGGGGCAGCCTCCCCCTCGTGAGCTCCCTGATCATGCTGTCCCCACAGCGGTCCAGTTCAGGAGACTGTGCAGAAAACAGAGCATGAAACTATAGAAGAACATCAAATTCTATTTAGGCCGTGGTCTCAGTGATGGGAAATGCATTTTAAGGTGGCAACGCGAACAACAGAAGAGTGGCAGTGGCTATGCTGGGTAGGGTTGTCGTTCCCTCGTATTTTCTTCTTTATAATTGTACTCATCCTCTGATATTTCTATGATGTAGGAAAAGGTGCTGGACAGAAGCTGTCACCGTGTGCTCTGGGACACCCCTGGAGGAAGGAGGGAGGGCAACAGGTGTTTTGTCAGGCCCGTATCTCTAGCCAGATACAAAGCCCCCACGTGTACACCTGCTCTCGCCTGCCTTGATCGTCCGCAGTTACCAACTTCCTTCTGCACAGCAGCTGTAGCCCTGGGCGTCCTGCCTCCCGGGTGGCTCAGCCTGCCGTTCCTGTGAGCTACAGGCCCAGGGATGGAGTAAGCCTGCCTCTCTTTTAGGAGCCCCGTCTGCAGGTTTTGCTTTTGTTTCTGTTTTCGCTTCAACATTAGCATCCTTTGGGGACCAGAACGGCACTGACAGCTCCCAAATGAGCAAGAGAGCAGATTCCCGGGGTCAAGCGCATCCTTCAGCCCCGGGGAGGGGGGGCGCGGGGGGAAGATGAAAGGTGGCCCGTCTTCCTGCCTGTCGCCAAGGCCTGA